CAGAGCTCTGCTGAGAGCAGCACAGGCAAAGGCGCTTCTTGGTGGGTCCTTTGGCACAAGCTGGTCTGAGGGAGGAGGATGCTGGGACTTGCACTGTAAGAGGGAGAGGGAGTTGCCATTCCTACCAGGAGGGTGATAACTCAGGGATCAGGGGCACAGGGCCATTGCCAGCAGTGAAGCACCAGAGTGCAGTGTTCTGTGCTGCTGTGTCCTGGGCAAACTCCAACAGGTAGCAGGTGAATCAGAGAAAGAAGGCAAACTCCAGGGGTGATGGGTGTCAGGGTTCAACTTTTACAATACAAATTCCAAGTCGGTGTTACGCCAAATACCATGTATTGATAGACATGGTTGTTACAGTTCATAGGGGCAGAAATGGTTAGGGGCTTGTGTTTTAGGACAAGCAGAAGGAAAGGGAGATAAGAATCTTTCTGTGTGGGTTTTTTTCATATGGGGGGAGGCTGCAGCATAAGGGCAGCACTTCAAGCAGAAATTGTGTTCTTTACCCCCAGCACAACTCTTTTTGTTTGCTGTAGCTCATGGGTCCTCTGCTCTGCTGGTTTCCTAGACAGCTGCAGGAGGTTGTGGCACACCTCTGGCACTTCAGTTTTCCAGCCCCAGGAGACTGTGATCCCAGCACTGCTGTGGCCTGGATATTGGAGACAAAAAATCAGCAGAACTGATTTTTTTTACTGCAGAGATTGCAGTATCTGGGAGAAGGCTCAGGGTTAGCTTTGTAGCTGCTATTAAGTACTCACAACTAATAATTTTTGGGATTATTTGTGCTGCCTACCTTTAAAATTGTATGTTACCATGGTGTCAGCATATTGTCCATTATGAGAACACAGTTTCAAAAAGAGGGCTTTGTTATTGTGGTTATTGTCTACAAAAGTCCCGTAGAAGGGTTCACATGGCTCGAAAACCTACTTCCATCCAGTAGTTAAATTAGGATTTGGAAATATACATATGTCAATTTATTAGTTGGCTTAACACAAGGGAAATACTGACTCATGCTTGAAGTGATAAGTTAGTGTTTATTTATTTATCTATTTATTTACCTCTTCAGTGAGCCCAAAGTTTGGGAGAAGCTTTAAAAACTCCCCAAAGCCACTTTTCCCTCTGATGTGTTTCTTTTTTACTTTCAGAGTTCTCCTGAATAAGCTTTCCTTGCAGTGGCCAATTGTTTGAGATGCTTCCTCTGCTGAAACAACTTGTGCCGTGCTTGTGTAGATGAATGATCTCTTGAAGGATTAATGACTCAGTCTATAATAAAGGCTCATGTTTTGCCCTTCTTCATGAGTTTCTTCTGTCACACCATTTTTAGAGCCAGCAGTGCAGATTAATTACATAGCTTTTTGAGGTAGTCATGCAACCAGTGTTAAAATAACTGCTCACCTGTGCAAATTTAGACAAAATAGTGTAATGATCTGGAGACTAAAGGCTTTACATCATATAATTGCTGATCTGTATCCTAGAATTTTCTATATTGATTTAGATATGCCCCTTTGTGCCCACACATTAGTGAAATCAGTAGCTACAGAACATCCCTGTGGTTACTTGTAACATTTATTTTCAAAATTATCAGCTGTTATAAATTCATTATTGAACTGAGAACTTTCACAAACATAATATGCTTCTGTGTGTTCCTGTTTAGATTTTCAAATCGGCAGTTGAGAAGCCACATTTAAACTGCTTTGCTTCATCTTAGTACTGAGAATGTTCATCAGGGCATTCACAGCTGCCCATATTGAATTGTGGTCAAACTCTTTTGTTCAGTTGTAGTGCTTTCAAATGAGGCAGTATGTGCTTGGTTTTAAACCTGTCTTTTGTTTTTGAAAAGGGTGAAAGCTTTTGCACTATTCTCCCATGCCTCAAAGCCTATCTCCACATCTGAAATACTTTTCAGAGAGTTCATATGGCCCCTAGAGCAGATAGAGGAAGTTTTTTTTTAAGTTCTCTTTATTGCAATGCTCTGTGTGTCCTCCCCTGAGCTGGGAGCAGGAGGTTGGGGCTGGAGGAAGGATTCCTGGGGATTGTGTGCTCAGTGGGAGAAGCAGTTCAGGACTGGAGGAGCTGTCCACGTGTAGGGACCCACGCTGGCCACCACTGCAGCCTGTGGGTTTCTAAGCCAGCCAGACATGAAAACATCAGTGCACTTGTCATGCCAGGCTTGGCAGACCTGGGGTGATTTTAACCTTGGTGGCTTTTTATCAATTTAGTTTTATCTGGACTTCCTGAAAAACATTTCTTGCGAGTGTTACAAGACACATAAATACACTTATTCCTGACTCTTAGTTACTGATGAGCTTCCTGTTATGATACTATTTAATACCTCATAATCTAGAACACAGTTATTTTTATTGCACATCTGTGGTGCACATATTTTATGGAATCATTGGGGGGTTTTTTCAGAGCTAGGAAAGGCCATTATAATCATCTTAGATTCTTCATTAAACATGCTGGTATACTTGTTTGGAGTTTCTGTGCATCAGTTTCAAGCTTCCTTTTTAGCTACAGTTCTCTCTTTAAAATTGTATTGAACTCGGTTTAAGATTTTTAGTTACAAGGAGCTCAACATGCCTTTTCTTGGTATAGTTACATAAAATTTGCTAAACTTTGCATTCATTGCTAATGAATTATCCAATGTAATCTTTCACAAAATAGGTCTAGTTATGCCTTTCCTTAAAAAAAAAAAAAAAAAGGCTGCAGAGCTACTTATCCATCTGAATTATCTTCCTTTGTAGATACTCTTGATCAGTGCAGATCATGACCTTCTTTGGGAAGAGCAAGATTGGCGTGCCTTAACTTTCTTAACAACAAGGCATGTCTCATCGCTCAGATCTCTGCTGAATCTTTTCCTAATTTTACAGACTTAGTCAAGTGTGAGCACTGTGTTTAGGTAATTAATTTACTAAACAACATATGCAGAGCATACTCAGTAGGATAGTAAGACAAAGCTAAGGTAATTTTCAGTTTGCACTGCAGCAGTGTATCCTCCTGAAAGCAGGCCTTCAAATTCCTGAGCCACTGCTGTGCTGAGCTGCCTGTGCTTCCTCCCTAACTTGAGGTTTTTTTTACTCTCAGTATTAAGAAAGTCACCTTAGAGATCCTCTGAACCTGGAGGAGCTGGAAGTAGATTTTGGTTGTAATAACCTGTATGATTCACAGGTCTTATTTCTGGCTTTCCACCCATTTGTTTTTCAAGTGTTTCTGGAAATGAAGTCTGTGTCATTGTCATAATAGATATTTACATTCAAGTGTGTGTATTCTACTTTAATCTCTGTTTCTAATTAAGATGCAGGTTAAAAAGACTGCCTGTGATTATATATTTGTTATTCAGAACAGGAGTATACAAGATTACTGGCATTTAGTGTGAGGCTAGTATATTATAAATTTAATCATTATTGTAAATAAAGTTTTATACAGTTTTAATAAATTTAATCTGTCCTGCATCACTTGGTAGTTTTTATAGTTGTTAAAATGCTTCTATCTGTATTAAATGTTGGTTGGATTTTATTGTAACACAGTACTGCTTAGATAATCATCCTAGTTTCTGGTTTTGTGGCCCTGGTAGTATTGACAGTACTGCCCAACTAAATGGAAAAAATAGGGACATGTACCCTATTCCTTGGAGTTTGGTGTTGCTGCAGGTAGCCCCTAAAATCAGTAGAAGAACTTGACAAGAAAAGCTATGTTGTGTCATATTGTTTATCTTTGAGGTAAACTGAAGCTTATGGACATCTTCATTGTCATTTTGATATCCTACATATATTCTAAAGCTTTAAGCTACAGAAGTGTTGATGTTAATTTTCTGCACTTTCTTACAGTAAAATAGTTTAGTTTAACTTTTGAACTTCCATAGATCAGGAATATTTTTTTGAACACTTGTATGCCTAAAGAAAGATGCCCTGGATCCACTAATTACGGGTCAAGGGAAAACAAATGAGCAGCCCCATTCTAACATGCATTTATGGAAGCTTAACTATCCCATGTGGAAAACTCCTTGGCAACTAATGCTGTTTTGGAGTGCACCTAATCTTGTAAAGCTAGGAAGTAGCACAGTAACCTTCTGCTGGCCCATCATCCCCCTCACAGGTGAAGCATCCCATGGTTAGCAAAGCATCTCAGGCACTTCAGCTTTGAGATTGACACTGCCCCTGATAAAGCTTTGCTGCCTCTTGCTGAGTGCTTCTTTTCCATTGTTAACAGTTTTCATACTCACCCTGGACTGGATTGATTGAACTTGATTCATATCAACAAGATATTGAGGAAAAGAAAGGAAAATGCTTGTATGTTCAGATGAAGTGCCTGAGATCTCTCAGACTAGTGATCCGTTCTGCAAAGGCAGCATCTCCTCCATTTGACAGTCCTGATGACCCTGCTCCCATGTCTCCATCCCCAATGACATGTTGTTAAACTGTGTGTACTTATCCCTGCACACATTTCCCACCATCCCTTATGTAATTTTGGGACACAATAGTTCTTCACTGTTCTCAATGTTACCTTTCAGAGCTGTTTATTAGCTGCTGGTTGATAGCAGACTACTTGTGTATTTATGCAAACACAATGTGTAGTATTGGATTTTTTTGCATAAAATGTTAAAAAAATTTGTGATACCTTGAACATACAGCTTAGTTTCAAGAGCTGAATTGCCTGTGACTCAGATCATCGCAGAATCGTGTTCCTGTACCAGTCACTGATAGATCTCCAACACAACAAAGGTGATGCGTCAGAAAAGAAATGTGCAAGAGGTGTGACAGTACAGCCCAGCTGTGTCAGCATGGTTTTGACATGTAATCCCAGATGTGGTTGCTGTTGTGGATTTGAATAGCTTGGGAGATACTGGGGTGGAAGCTCTCTAAACCCCCATTGAGTCAAAGCTAGTTCTGTTTCATATCTTAAACTTTTTTTTAAGCTTTTTGGGGAAAAGAAACTTTGTTTCCTTTTCCTTTCTTTTTTTTATTGAAATTTTAAATTTTGTTTTTTAACAGATGGCATAATAAGATGGCAGCAAACAAAAAACTATGATGAAAACATAAGGGATTAGGGGGTTTTTTTGCTGCACCTGTATTCTCTCCGATGGCCCAGCCTAATCCAAAATGCTCAGTTCCTTGGAAAGGCACAATAATTATTTTGGCTCTGTGAGACTCCCTGGAATGTATTCTCTTAGAGGCAAGTATCTCTGGCACTGTGAAGTTCGTGAGGTAAGGAGCTAGATAAATAGCAGCTGCAAGGAATTTCTGGATCTTTGGAGTCAGAAAGTTCTTGAAGCAGCAGTTGCAAAGAGGAGATGCAGGAGAGAGCAGAGAAAGTGAGAGGGAAAAGTGGTTGTCACACAGGAACATAACTGGAAAGATCAAGTTGATTTGAGAGAAAAGCATGAATCTGGGGACGCATTGTAAAGCAGAAATACCTTGCCCTATGCTAATGCAGTTTCTTCAAACAGCTCATTCTTAGAGACACATTTGAAAATTCTCGAGCATGAGGGCCCATTGCAGTAAGGCCTAGTTTTGTTTTTCCTGGCCCAGGAGCATTGCAGAGGTTCTACAGATGCAGTGGGAGGGGAGCAGTGAAATTTTTGTTTTTATTACACTGTTTGAACAGTTTAACAAAGTAACAATCCTGTGTGCATTTGAGATCTGAATCTGCTGCCTTTCTAAATAAAGGGGGACCACCAGGGGGCAACTAGCTATCCATCTTCTTCCTTTTGAGCATAAACTACTCCTTTCCTGGAAATCTTGGGCACTGAAGAGTTTTGAAATGGTGGGAGGAAAAAAGAAAAATAAAGAAGAGGTGTTTATTTGTTTTGTTGTCAGTTGTAAAATACATTTGCAACTGCATCAAACAAGCAGCCACATGAGAGAATATAGTTTGGACATAAAGCCTGTTGAGAATTTGCTGTGTTAAACCCAAGTGTTTAACGTCTAAAGCTGTTTTGTAGGCATTAAACTAAAGGGAAAAACCAAAATGTGAATATGCTCTCAAGATTTATTGGTAATAAATGTGTAATTCTATGCTCAATTACATGGAGTATGTGCTGGGTTCGTTCATTCATCAGTGAAAGATTTTAATATTAAATTCCACTTTCTGCCTGAAAATTAATTAAGAATTAGTAGGCTCTGCATAGGTTGTATGGTTTGAAATAGCTTGTGATTTATGTGAACCTTTTGCTATATTGCAGGTTCTTCAGCAAAAGCACTTGTGAGCTTGAAAGGTAAGAAATTAACATGCTCTTTACTTGTACCCAATCTGACTTTCAGGTCAGATATTTATTTCTATTATTAGAAATTGAATCTAATATCTAAATTCTATAGATATTTTTTATCTATTTATTTAGTTTCTGGCTTCAGAAAGTTCAAGAAAATCACAGGCTTTTTTGTTGAAATATTATTTGGTTTATTGTAGGTATTTGTAGTTCTGTAGAATAATAATCCTTGGCAGTTGAAACTACATATATTGTGGTGTATTTAGACACTGCTCTTCTGAGTGAAGTTCCTGAAATGTGTTTTTTCTTCAAAAGTACTGCCTAGGCATCAAGTTTGATGAGAAGATTGGGGTAATTTTTCATCTCTTGAGGATGAGATCCAGGAAGGATTCTTAGTGAGACCTGTACATGTGACAAAATTTACATTAGGAAGGCATTTCACAATTTTATGGTGTTCTCTGTCAGCAGGTTGTGAGCTAAATCAAAAACCTGCTACTTATATTTTTTTCTTTGAAATTGTCTTCATGAACATTTATACAGATTTTGAATACTTCTAATGTGCCCAGTAATTAAAGCTTCTTTATGTATTACACGGCTTTTGTTACACAAATAAGAGGGTATGGTCTTATGTTGTAACTAATGCAGATTTGTTGCAATAAAATCTTACTTACTTATTGGTGTACACCCACTTAATAATTTTCTAGAACTAGAAGGTGTCTGTGTCTTGTAGAGCTTTGCTTTGCCAAGGTTTCAGTTACAGCCACAGTTCAACTGTTGATTTGTGTTGACCTGACTATGGAAGTAATTGATTCCAGCAAAGGAGGTTTCAGGAAACCTAAACCTTGTCAAAAGTAAAACATACTTGTTTATCTTTCTCCTTGTAGTGAAAATCTCCTTCTTTTTTTTTTTTTTAAATTAGTGTTAAAAACTATTTAATAAAAATACTGAAATCTAAAATTTTTATTACTGAATTCAAGGATGTTGCAAGTAAATATTTCAGAAGTTGGTGATGTTATACTTGGTTTTGAACAGTGGTTATGTTAAAACATGCATATACATATATGTACATTAATGATGTACTTGCTTCACAACAGAGGGAAGTTTATCCAGTTCGTGGAATGAAAAGTATAATTCTCTGCAGAAAACACACAGTTGGAAGAACAAGAATGCTGGTTCTGCTGTGGAAATGGTAAGAAGCCATAAAAAGCTTCAGGATTAGTAAAATACCATACAGTGAATCAAATGTAAGGATCACAAGAAAAGGCTGAGATTTATAGTTTTGTAATGTCCAAATCCTTCACAAGCACTTTGCATAGCTTGCATAAGAGGTGAAAACATATTTTATAAATGAATAATCAAACACCTTAAATTGCTGACCTCTTTCAAGTTAGGTCAAAATATTTTCCTCTTTGTATTTTTTTTGTAAAGCAAGTGCTGTGTAAAGTATTTGTACTGCATCTACCACCTTGAGCTTAGGAATCACCAATTCTGATCAACTATTTTTGTATCTCATTAAATATCTCACTTCTAATTATGGCTGAGAACTGAAGCATAAAGGAAAGGAAGGGAAAATGTCATAATGCACTTCCACCATTGTGCCTTCTTGGGGGCAGATTCTAATAAAAGTAAAGGACTGCCAGTGAAATTTTTTCTGAGTATTCTGAGAACTTTCATAGGAGGCCTTACATTAAAGAACAACCTTGGGTTGGGGATATGAAATGAGCCTGCAGCTTCCAATGGGATGTTTGGTGTTTACCAGTTCAGTCTTGTGGTTTGTTTTTGCTTAACTGTTTGTTTATTGTCCCGCAATCTTCTCCCTGGTATTTATTTTGGTAGGATTCATACAGATGCATAATACACACATGTTGCTATGTGTTTATGCTAGAGAGCATAAGGTCTACAAAATGCAGTTCCAGACAGAGACCAGAACTTTGTGAAGACCTTTAGTTCCTGCAGTTCATATCACAGTTTCCAGCTGCTTCCCAGGAATGCCCATCATCTCACAGAAACAAGCCTTACTGCAAACGTACAAGATCACATGTGCTAAAGACCCAAAGTGACTGGCTGTAACATCTGTATAAATAATTTGTCAATCATTAGGTGTGGTGGCTGTAGGTGGTAAAACCATCAAGTCAAACTTTGAATGTAGCTCAGTGTTCTGTAGAAAGCTGGGGGAAAGATCAGAGCATAATCTGACATGTTGGCAGCAACCCATGTTGCTAAGATGTAATGGAGTAGTTTGAGTTTACTGGATGCTGAAAGTTTTGAAGACATATTTTACTGTTGGTTGAAAAATCTTTCCAAAAATGCCTGACCTATTTAGCCACTGTGGAAGTTACCTCCTTGCAACACTTGTTTAGCTCTGGTGTGAGGCACAGACAGTCCAAGGTGATGAAACACTCTTCTCATTTTGAATAGCTCTTTGGAGCAGAGTCTGGCAGTTTCTGTTGAGGGTTGCTTGGTCTGGATCAGGATGATTTGGTTACCTTGTCAGTATATAATTCCTCTGTCCAGTGTGTGTCTTTCCTGGTTTGTAATATCTACCAGGAATTAATGTTTTCTTCTGTGTGTTGCATATGCTTAGGTGTCTAGCACATACAGAGCACTTCTGTTACTTGAATACTTAAATACTACTTTAATGTAGTTCTTTTTATAAAATATATATATAATTAGAGTAAGGGAGGCACATTTCCTGTTAAAGTCCCACATTCAGATGGCATGGAACAGACAGAATTTTAGTTACCACTGATTAATATAATAGAAAATATCTCTTTTCAAGCAGTGAACCAGACACAAGTGGATTAAATTTCTTTCTAAAGTGCAAATGCTTGTTAATGAAGTTTTATTTAACTGTGTTGATTTATTTTGTCTGTCTCTTGTGCTGGGCCACAGAATCTTCAGGGAAGGAAAAGGAAAAGCTGCTTCCCCTCAGTGCTAACAGCCAGTCATAGATTGCTCTTTTGTTCTCAGTGAAAGCAGGAGTCTTTTGTTATAGGGTCAGATATTGAGGAATAACTAAATAATTTTTTTTCATGACACACTTGAAATATCATTTCTTGTTTTCAGTCAGCCTTCTAATTCTTTCTGGGCTATAGCAGTACAGAAGTAAATTTCATTTAGCATAAATTCTAAGTTCTTTTTTCTGAGATTGTCACATAACTTATTCAAGATTTAGTTTCTTCAGATTCAATCTTCTTAGCATTTTGGTATGTAGATACTTTCAATGAGTTAAAAAACCAACAAACACACATCACTTTATTACAAATTTTTTGCTAAAATTCTGTGTGGCTGAGAACATAAAAAAATTACAGTATTTGAATAAACCTTTTTTTTTTGATCCAAAATTCAAAACAAATTGTTTAACAGATGTACTACTTATAACCAAGGCAAGCTAAGATACACAAGTGTTTAGACACCTAACTCTAATGGAAACAAGTGGGAGTTAGGCTCTAAATACTTCTGTGAAATTGGGCCAGCAGTATAGTAATGGTTATAGTTAGCACTGGAAAAGCCTGGAATCTTGAACTCCTTCTCTCAGTGCCTGAAAACCAACAGGTGACAAGAGAAGAGGCATTTCATTTCTCTTACTGTGAATTCTGTGCATGAACAGACAAATCAGGTTTCTTACTTGTAATTCTTTATTTTTGTTCCATACAGCCCTTCAGAAATTCAAAACGGAGCCGACTCTTCAGTGAAGAAGATGACAGACAAATAAACACAAGGTCACCCAAAAGAAATCAGAAGGTTGCAATGGTTCCACAGGTACCTACATACATGTATGGAGATACTTTTACCAGAAAGGGGACCAAGCCTATCTGTTTTAATTAAAAATTAGAATATATTTTCTTTTCAAGTTGCATTTTTGGTTTATGAATCTTCTTGTGAAGAAAACAGTTGCTAGATGTTAGCCACAATTCAAAAGAGATTAATATCTTTCTTTCATACAACTGGTTTCCTCAGATTGTTTATGGGAGTACCTGTTCTTTGTGATCTTGGACATGAATACACAGAGCCAGAAAGCATTCCAGACTAACTGTCCATCATGCTTCTGCAAAAACTCATCTCCTGTAGTCGGCATAAATTTATTCAGCTTCTGTTTAAAACTGCCAAATTCTTGCACTGATTACATAATTGAGAAGGCTGCTATAGAATTTAATGTATCCCAGCAAGTTAGGGACTTGCTCTAGATTTGTAGCCTAACTGTGTTCGTGGCCAGCTTTACCTTCTTGATCCTGTAATGCTAAAGTCCTCAGTTCAAAGAGGTTGTTTTTCCATCTCCCACTTGATTGTCCACTCCTTGATACAGCACAAAAAAGCAGCTGTAATTTGTCAGCCTTTATTTGCTATGATAGAAAGGGAAGTACCTCTTAGTTTCAGTGAATTTGCTCTGTAGTACCTTTGTCATCCACATCACTTCTCTGTGCCATCACCTTATGAGGCTGAATTTATTATTAGTTTGAATTTCTCACTGAAAAAGTACTATTTGAATACTGCTCTGATTTGTCTTCTGAGCTGTGCTGTGCAGTGTCTGATGTGAAAAACTTGGCACTTACCAGTTAGCTGGGTCTGTTCTGCCAGAGGTGAGAACCATGACATTTCTCTTCATTACCATAATTTCTTAAGAGTAGAAGGACTTGGTAATGTTCTAAACCCAGTTGTTTTGTGCTTAAAGCTGTTGTAGTCCACAAATCTTGCTGTCCCACCAGGTTTTGTTTCCTGGAGTTCCAGTGGGAGAAAGGGGACCTGTATCTAGTGCAGCAGCAGCCAAGAAGTTGCGTACCGCGTGCTTTATCCTATTATTGCTGTTACTAAAGTCCAAAATACTTTGAATGTTTGGGGAGGGATAACAATTGATGGAGACCCAGTCAAATCTATAGACTCAAAAAGCTGTTATTTTTTGCAGAAAAGGTTGTTTGTTTTTTTTCTGTCAGCTAAGACAGCCATCCTTGGAATAAAATCACAGAATTATTTTTTTTATGGTCTTGTTTAAACACAGGTCTATCTATTATGCAAGCAGTCTAAGACAGTGTCTTCTCTGTGATTTATCAAATAGCTTTCAAATGTAGTTAAAACTTGCTAGTGCAAATCAGGCGGGTGCTGTTGCTGGCATCTGAGCTGCAACACTGGTTATACTCACCTGAGACAGTCAGTGGGGCCTCAGAGTTTTGAAGTCTGTATGTATTTTACTGCCATGCTGTTGTTACCAATAATGTAGTTTTCAGTGCTGGAAAATGTTTCTGTTAAAAGAGCTTCGTCTGGAGATAATGGTATTGATCCTGTTAAAATTTGCTGTCTGTTCTGTTTGATTGCATTGCTGATATAATGCAGTAAGAGTTGTTATAGATCTTCAAGAAAAACATTGCCATGAAACAATATTGCAGACTTTTATCCAGGAAAATCTGATTTATTTGAATACTGAAAATTATTAGATTCTGTTTAACTGTTTCTTTTTTTTTTTTACTACATAGAAGTTTAGTACAACAATGTCCACACCAGAAAAGAAAGTATCACAGAAGATTGGTTTGCGGCTTCGTAACCTGCTCAAACTGCCCAAAGCTCACAAGTGGTGCATATACGAGTGGTTCTATTCAAATATAGATAAGTACGTTTGGTTTTATAATTATCTCTTATTAGGATAGAAACAAGTAATTTTCTGAAATTGAGCTGCATAGCTATATATCTATTAGTTAGATACTCCAATTTATTTGTAAAATTACTAGTTACTGAAAACTATTTTGTTTGGTGGTGGTGGGTGTTTTTCTTTTTTCTAATGAGCAATGTATGTGCTCTTTGTAACTGCCAACTTTAGAAAGTCTTCTATGGAAAGCCTTCTTTCATGAATATAATGTTCTTTTTATGACCTCTGCCTCTACCAGGTTTTACTCATAATGCTTTTAACATCTGAAACATGAAGATATCAGAACACTTAGACTTTTCTGAACCATTGCATCTGTGTTATACAGAGGAGATAGGGAGGATATTGCTTCTTCATGAAGTGCAGCTTTCCTAAAAGGTGTAAATGTTGGTATTAAATATTTTTGCTGATCATCCTGTTTTTATTGTGATCACTAACAGAGCTTCAGGCTGTGACTGTTCAGCTCTTGTCCAGATATCAGCATCCTTCTTGGGTCTCCTAATGTATTTCTTAGACTGTTTCTGCAGTTTGTTCCTCAGAGTCTTTGGCACTTGTTCTCTTAATGCCACTAGCACAGTGGTGTGAATTGTTTAAAAGAAACAATTTAATTTCTAAAATGTTAAAAACATTATTGATGAATGGAATCTTAAAATCTATACTGTTTGACTAATAGATGCAACACAAGTATTTAATATTCTGAAGAATGGCTTCAGAGTTAACAAGCATTATTTTCCAGAATGTACAAACAAAATAATTACTGTTTTTCCTTCCTATTTTAATCACAATTGCTGCAGCTTTTTTTCTTTAACTGAAAAGGCAGTCATAGCAACAGAGAAACATTTTGGCATATATTCATCAGAAGTGGAAAAATTTCATGTCCATTTTAGTTAGTTTTAAATTCATCATCTCTAGGATTTAATTCCTTTGAAAGAACTAGTCTTTTCATGCTTCTTCCCTTACTTGAAAAAAAAACGAACAATATAAAAACCCCAACCCTACTTATTTCTAGGAGTAATTTTAATATGTAACATCTTTAATAATGATTTTTACAACAGACCAAAAACTGTTAGTTTATTCTTAAATAATTGTCTATGAAACTTTAGGTCTATCAGTAGACTAGAATTTGAGTTTAGCAGGTAATTCTGAAATCCTTTTTGATAGTTCTCCATGTATGCAGGTGTGGTGGGTTCTCCTTGGCTAGACCAGGTGCTCATCAAAACTGTTCTATCACTCCTTAGCTGGACACAGGTGAGAAAATCTAACAAGAGGGTCAAAGGCTGAGATAAGCACAGGAAGAGAACACACCACTTACTGTCATGGGCAGAACAGACTCAACTTTGGGAAATTAATTTAATTTATTACCAATCAAATAAAAATAGGATAATAAGAAGTAAAACCAAATCTTAAAAACACCTCTCTTCTTCTTGAGCTTTATTCCCAATTCTCTCTTCTCTATGTCCAACCCCGCATAAGTGCAGGGGGACAGGGAATGAGGGTTATGATCAGTTCATCACCTCTTGTCTGTCTCTGCTGCTCCTTCTTCCACAGGAGGAATCCTTCCATTCCCATGGGAGCCAGTCCTTTACAAAGTTCTCCAACTTGAGTCCTTCACACGGGCTGCAGTTCTTCACAAACTGCTCCAGTGTGGACCCCTTCCATGAGATGCTCTTCTTCAGGAATAGACTGCTCCAGTATGGGTCCCACATGGGGTCAGAAGTCCTGGCAGGAAACTTGCTCCAGTATGGGCTCTTCTCCATGAGTCCACAGTCCTGCCAGGAGTCTGCCCTAGGAGGGGCTTCCCATGGGTTCACAGCCTCCTTTGGGCATCCACCTGCACCAACATGGGTCCCTCCATGGGATGCAGAGGCACAGCTGCTTCACCATGGTCTGCAGAGGAATCTGCTCTGGTGGCTGGAGCACCTCCTTCTCTGACCTTGGCTTGGTGTCTGCAGAGCTCTTTCTCTCAGATACTCTTACATCTCTGTCCTGCTGCAATTGCACAGGATTTTTTTTCCCCTTCCTAACTCATTTCAGGGGCACGATCACCATCGCTAGTTGGTTCAGCCTTGGCCAAGGGTGGTTCCACCTTGGAGCCAACTGGCATTGGTTCTGTGGGATATGGGAGGAGCTTCCAGCAGCTTCTTAAAGAAGCTACCCCTGCATACCCTCTCTGCCAAAACCTTGCCTTGAAAATCAAATACAGCTTGTAATACTCATAAGATAGGACCATGTTAAGATAGTACAACATACTTTGCTAAGAGACTGCATATCTTTGGAAGGAAAACTTTGATATATCTTGTTCAGAGTCATATGATCCAGGCTTAATGAGAAGCTTAAAAAGTTTGAATCATAGAACTATCAACAAAGTATGTATGGCTCACTGTACAAGTCTCCAAATATTTTAATCAAATTATTGCATCCAAAATTGAAATAATCAAATAAAATGCCATGTCTGCTGTAAGTTTTTGAAATATTTTTATTTCTACAACTGTGGTTATTACGTTATTGAAGCTGTTCCAGTTGGATTCTCTATATACTACTGCAGTGGACTGTTTTCTGTGAAGTCCCATTGATTTTGGGCATGCAGAGGCTTCTGAACTGCTGCTTACTACTACAGTGATCACAGGCCCTGAGAAGCAGGCCCTGTAACTTGCTTACACCATTTTCCAGAGCTTCCAATCTTGTGGATGCTGTAGGTTTAGAGTTTGCCTGCTTAAGGACAAGTGTTAATAAGAACAATCAAATACAGATTATCTCTATCAAAAAAACCCAAAAAACAACAAACCAAAAAACCCAAGCTGAATAGTTATTCTTTATATAGATATCTTATGTTCGCAGTAGTAAATATGGATAAAATGATACTGTTGTATACTCTCCTGTGTCTGTTTCCTGAGCCTCATTGCTCGTTCTTTTTTGTTTTCCTTTTCACTTAATGCCACAGCTGCAGATCCTCCTACTGTAAAACTATTCTCTTCCATGCTTGCCTCAGTCTTCTTATATCTGTGCACCTTTCCTCTCTCCTGCCACCCCAGACACTCAGTTGAAAGCAGTGTTGCTTCCAAGGTCCTCTTTGTTCTGTGCTTGGGTATATTCCTCTCCAAATCCCAGTGCCCTGCAAAGAGTGGAGAAAAGCAGCTTTCTAGGATGTAGTTATCATTTTGTTCTCACCAGCAGGGGTCTATTTCAGTTGCACATAGTCTTTTATGATTAACCTTCTATTAGATGGGCATATCTGTTGCTGCTCCCTTGTCTCCTCCACCTAAGAAGGATGTGGCACTACAAAGAAAAAGGCAGTCATAAAACAGAGATAGAGATGGGTCATAGCATCAGAGAGAAATTCCTGAGCTGTGCAGGTCTGTTCTCTGAACTGTCACTTCTTTCATACTGATCCTGTGTTTCACCATGGAGTCATGGGATGATACAATAAAAGTCTCACCTGTACAGCTGTAGAGAATGATGAGTTGGTTCAATTTCCTGTATTTTGGATACCTCTGTTGAGAGCCTGAGTTACAGGTGAATAAATTGATGAGAAAAGGTACTTTCTGTCTGTTTCTCAGTGCCACATTGTCCTTCCTTTTATTCTCAGTATTTCACTCTCTGATTTCCTTCAGTGTGTTGCAGTATCCTCTTGACACTGAGCTGACTCTGCTGAGGTTTCCTTTGGTGCCTTTGTATACGTTAGAGAGCAGGATGAATTACATGTATTTCTCTGTAGTAACTAGAGAACGGAGCATTTTTAAATGTCAGTGATAGTAAGAATCAAACAACAATAGTCCTGGAAACTTCCTGATGATGTTTTTGGCTGAATTAAATTGTTCTTTGAATAGGAGTATCTTGTTCATTTGACTAACTTACAGTATTTTTTTTTAATGTGTTTCTGATGATGGATGTTTTTTGGACTCTTGTGACAAAAGTTTACTTAGTGTGGTTAACATAGGACTAATTATGTTTCAACAGGCCGCTGTTTGAAGGAGATAATGATTTCTGTATATGCCTGAAAGAGTCTTTTCCAACTTTGAAAACCAGAAAATTGACAAGAGTAGAATGGGGGAAAATCCGGCGATTGATGGGAAAACCACGGAGGTAATTTTTTCTTTCAGCTATTATTTACATGTAGTTTTGATGTTAATGGAATTGTTAATTTTAAAAAAAATTGCATTCACATAGTAGAACAAAACAATATCTTAAGGGTAGTAAATCTCATTTTATTGAGATGTTCTCTGAGCATCTCTCTCCCCCACACGCCCTGTTCCTTAATTGCATGTGTCCATGTAGTTCTCATGAGCCTATGATTGAAATGTTCTCTTCCCACTCCTGGTAACTGGGTGTCCAAGCTAGGATCTGTTGAAGTTGTTATTGTATCTTCTGTACTGCAGTGGTTCCTGGCCTGGAAGAACTGGCCGATTTTTCACTAAGTGGTTTTTTTTTGTCTATAACTAGCTCTTCATGGGGAAAATGAGCGCACATTTTCACCTCGTTTATTTTATTATTGTTTTTAAATCATTTTATAGATCCTCGACTTTTCCTAGATTGACTATCAAGACAGAGAAAAGATGAAGTCACCCATAAAATATGTATATGTATAAAATATTATGTATAAAATATTATATATTATATATATTATAATATAATATATTATATATTATAATATAATATTATATATTATTATGTATAAAATATTACAGAGAAGAAGCCAGAATTTAATGAAGGACATTGGGCTTTTTTCTAATTTAGAATTTTTAATTCTTAAACCCTCTGATTCAGCTCAGCCTTTTCACAAAACCTACACCATTTAGTCTAAAGAAGGCTATGGGAGGATCCCATTTTTGTGTACAAATATTTGAAGGGAAGGTATAGAGAAGGTAGGGCCAGATGTTTTTCCAGCATTGTCTGGAGACAGGAAAAGAGAAAATGGGCACAAGTGAAGTGGTGGAATCTTCATACTTAGATGTACTCAGAGGCTCTCTGGACATCGTCCTGGGAAGCCTCCTGGAGGTGATTCTGCTGGAGGGGTTGAAGGAGATAATCTTCAGAGGTCCTTCCAAACTTGATCACCCTGTCATTGTATAAGTAGTGTTTCATAATTAACCAGCCTTTTATTTCTGTAAATGCAAGCACTAAGGCACTGAATCCATTTCTTCAGAGATCACTGAGTCAGATTATATTTTGCGCGATGGAGACCATTTCATCTTCTGTACCTGCAGACAACATAAGTAAAAATCATCAGTCAAGGAAAGGCAGCAGAGCCAGCTTGAAAATAGCTCCTGTTGGAAGGATGTTCTTGTAATTTGAGCTTAACTTAGCTAGCTTTTCTTTCCTTTGTTGTCATGATTCCTACTGAGAGAGAAATGGTTTATTTGGAGGTTAAGTCATTAACTTCTCATTTGACTTTTGCCAAAAGTGGTTACTTCTCTAAAAGATCAGCTTGCCTCATTCAGCAGTCTGGTGGACCATAAAACTTCAAAGGCTTACAATGGTTTGGGTTGGAAGGTTAAAGATTGTCTGATTCCAGCAGGGGTTGGGGGTCAGGGGATGCCCTAGGCAGGGAACCTTGTCTGCATCAGATTACAGAACCCCATCCAACCTGGTGGGTTGCAAACTTCCTTTTGTTTTTCAGGAGTTCTTTGGGTTGGTTTTTTGCTTTTATTTTTTTAAACCATGAGGAAAGTGGTTTTGGATTTCATTTGGGAGCTTTCAGTTCAGCTATCATAGAGTTATTTTTTTAAAAAAGAGAGACTCATGCCAAAGGAACCAAAGGTCAACATGGGCAGGAAATTGTTTTACCTGAATTCTGAAGTAAAAGTATTTGACTGCATAAACAGTCTGATGGTTTCTTAATGCAAACTTTGAGTTGCTGCTTTATAGCAACGTAAAATAAGCATCCCTGTTTTCTTTTAATTTCTTTTCTAATATTTTTTTTTAATTACTGGTAGTCTCTTTCAAGATCTCAGGAGTGGTATTTGGCCTAAGTTTAAAAAGACTTTGAATTATTGTAAATAATTTAAATGCTTTTTCAAGACAATTTTCATCTACTTCTAGAGCAAATGTTTTTTTTACCATTCTGTTAGAAATTTCTTCTGTCTGTCCTCATCATATGGAAGTAAGCTATATACCATGTCAACACTGATATCTCCCCATGAGGGATTAAAAAAAATAACTGAGACATTTTGCACCCACAGTGTTCATGGCAGAGGATAATAGTGTCTCTGTGATAGTTATGCACATGGTTGTCATGTATTTTTTTTGTTTAAACATATTGTAGTATTTTCTTATGTCTGCTGCTACCTTAAATGTCCTATCACACATCAACAGTATGTTTGATTGGCACAGCAGTATTCTTCATGAGAGCCTGCAAAGCTTGTAAGATTCCTGTAGACTGTGGGGAAAGATATGCTCCAGAAAAAGGAAGAGGTAATGGTTTTGTGTATGCTGTGTAAACTCAGTTTGGCTTGTGAAATAGCAGTGGATATGAATTAAGCTTAGATCTGCTTGTCCTGCCGCTACATAATGGTGGTGATTCCTCTGTTAGTTCAAATTCTCACAAGTAAGGTAAAAACTGAAAAGAATGTTCAACCTCTTAAGAAGTCTTTATGGAAAACTAAACTTGAAATTTTGATCTGTATCATAGTTTTCATCTTCAGTTTTTCATAGGATAGCATGAAGATGGGATGACCTTTATTTGGGGAACATTGGGGTGGAGGTTTCCTTTAACAGAAGCCAGAAATGTATTGCAAATACTTTCTACACCCATAGTTACAGCATTTGGGAAAGAGACTTTTTAAGACCATCTGAGCTATCAGTAAAACAGTAGTTGCTGTTGTAGGGACCTTCCAAGGTCAGTGGTTAGTATATCAGCATTTGCATTTGTATTTCTGAGAACACAAGTCAAAAAACATCAGGTGATATTTGCTGTTCCTGATGCAAGATCCTGGACATGATTAAAAGGACTAATACAAAGTCTGTATTGCTTTTTTTTCTTTTCTTTTTTTTTCTTATTTTGTGATCTGTGGTCAGCCACTCTTCTCCTTAATGGAGTTGAAAAGTTTTGACCTGCATTTTGCAACTTGATATACACAGCCCACTGCAAGCATTATTTCACACCTGTTCCTCCCCAGTAGTAAATATGAAGTCAGTAGCATCAATAAATGAGAATATCCAAGTAAGCTCTTCATAGCTCTCCCAACCACCATCCCCTTCTATGTCTGCCACATCCCTTTCCAGATATTTTAAATTCCTAATGAGGCCTTCTGGAATAGTACATAGTTCCAAGTAAACACATTCTGCTCTTCAGTGGTAAACTTCTGAGTGGGACACACACACACCTACAGCCTCAAGCTACAACAGAATTTCTAGGCTATACAAAGACGAGTGGTAATTTTTGTGCTGATAGTGGTTGGAAAGCCTCATATGGGAACCTTCAGTGCAGTGCACTTCTGCATTACTGGACAAAAGCACCTCACAGCTTCAGTTCATTCTTATGGTTTTTGCCCATGTCTTACTTAGAACTAAGATCTCATTATGTTAACACTGGGAGAAAACAGGTGACCTATGCCCCTTATAATAACTTAGAAAACATGTATAAGATAAAAGGCAACTGATGTGTGCATGTAGAGTGTGAAACTGCTGGTCAGTGTGAAACAAAATGGTCTCAGCATCCTGGCAGCTTAGTGCTTACAGTCTTCTTGTACACAATGCCAGGAAGAGGAATCATGGAAAAACGTGAAAGGGTTTTGTGGAAGTCTCCCAGTGAGGGGTATACAGAAGAAAACCTAAGAATGTTTGTGTCAGCATATAATAGGAGAGTAGTAGAAGCAGACTTGGAAAAAGGAGCTCACTTCTTAGTAGTGGGTTGGGGATGACTGAGGAATATCTTCAAGGGATGTAATCAGAAAATTGTAATGTAGTAGAGGGAACCAGCAGCAGAGTTGACAAACATTCTAAAATAACTTCATAAAATAGAACTTCTTTTTGATCAATAATCAATATTTAACTGCATGAGCTCCGCAGAAAATGTTTAATTTGAATTTGGGTGCAGTAAAGCAATTAACAAAGGTGGCAAATTATTTGATAAATAACTTTCTGCAGTCAGGCAGACTTAGAATAGCATTTGTGCACCTTTTTAAAATTACTTCTTTCATTGACACAAGAATGAAGAAACGTTTTTTAGTGAGAAATGAAAGACGGGATTGAGTCCTTAATGCCTTTGTGGTTTGTGTTTATCTCCCTCATGTATCTTGCCGATTCAGTAGGTTAGAAATTAAAATTAATAAAAAATAAGTACTTTGAGAGTGAGCCTTCCATCTTTTAGATTGCATTTTAAGAACAATCCTACCCCCAAAAATGGGGAAAAGGACAACTATAGATGATCTGATTTTACACAGTATTCCAAGATCAAATAAACTTCTTCTATGATCAATCTCAGAACAGTTCAGCTGTGTAACAGAGGTTTTGGGACTGAGCTGTGCTGTGCACAGGTGCAAGGAGATGAGACAGAGAAGTGCCCTTTTATGAACTGTCTGGTGCCCTTTCATACTCAGTTAGTTTAATTGAGCTAATAAGCACATGTGAAAGGGATCTCCTGTCTATCAGTAAGTGCTGGCAGCCAGGGGCCTCACAGGATGATGCCCTCCTCAGGTGCATTGAACTGGCATCCAGAATAGACTGGGGTCAGCTTCAGCTTTTTTGTGACCATCCTAGATGAATCCTTATAAGCAGAAAAAATCCTAAAAAGTTGTACTCTTTAGATATCATAATGCAACAGCTAGTATTCCTGAGTATTATTTTTAAATAGACTCTTACTTTAAGGGTGATAATTCTGAGGAGTAAGATTGTCTAAATACATTAAACAAGACTTTTTTTTTTTCTCTTGAGCATATCACCCCAAGCTTTTTCTTTTTCTCTCACTGATTTTTTAAACTGTGCCTATTTATTTGATGTGCCTTCACATGATTCATTTTCAATGATGAATTCAAATATAATTTTGTCTAATGATATTACAGGTGTTCCTCTGCATTCTTTGAGGAAGAGAGGTCAGCATTAAAACAGAAACGGCAGAAAATCAGACTTTTGCAGCAGCGGAAAGTTGCAGATCTTTCACAGTTCAAAGATCTTCCAGAAGAAATTCCATTACCGCTTGTAATAGGAACAAAAGTTACAGGTAATTTCTTAAAAACAAACAAAATAATCAGTCATGTGTATTTTGCAAGTATTTTAGTAAGTCATAATACACTTAGTGCACATAATTATAGTAAATGTAAAACATCAAAAATTATATTGTTTTTGTTAGTTCATTGAGAGTGGTATTTTTAAAACAGTGATAAGGTTTTGAGGTGCAAAAAAATTAGGTTTATTATTTCTGCTGTTCAAATTGTAGGGTTCTTTACATGTCTAGTTTTTTATATATCTAACAAATTTTGGTGAGAGGGAGATGCTTAATTTCAAAATATTGAATGTTGTCTGATTTTAAAATCTGACCTAATATGAAGCTTGAACTTTATTTTTCCACAAATATAAAACTGCTTGTTTTGAAACCGATAAACAATTGATACTGTAGTGTAACTGGACATGTATGCTAAACATGACATTGCCTTACTTAAAGACCTTACCCACAACTGAGGAAGGAATATGGCTGAAAGCATTCTACAGGTTTTGTGAAAATTTGAATTCCTTCCTCCTGTCTGATTTTAGTTCAGGTGCTTTTCACTTCAGCATCTCCTATTCAAGCCACTGCTGTTCATTGCATTTTTTGTGTTGAGCACTACTGCCCTTAGCTCTTGCTGAAGAGCGGGTGTGCACCACACTGCCTCTCCTCTCTCCTAGACCTGTATCATTGAGCTGTCTTCCACACTGTTTTTTGCTAAATATGCAGTCATCAGAGGAGGTGTTCAGAGAGAAATGCTGTGCAAAATCATCTGGAAATTGACTTTTGCCCGCAAAATCGATCTGTCAGAAGGTCTTGGGTATGAAATAGTAGGAGTTTCTTAGGCATAAGTGTAGTGATAAGGATTATTTGGGAAATATTTGACCTTCAAATTTAAATTTTGTCCAAAATTTGATAATATTTATATTATATACTTTTTTTTTTTCCATTTAATCTATGTCCTTTAAGTATACATATAAAGAATTACTTCTAAAAGATGTTTTTGTTATTTGTGTCATAGCATTGTAATGTTTGGATTCTTGGTTCTCCTGTTGTTTTTTTCAGCCCGTTTGCGAGGTGTCCATGATGGCCTGTTCACAGGACAAATAGATGCTGTAGACACTCTTAATGCTACCTACAGAGTGACTTTTGACAGGGCAGGTCTTGGAACACACACAGTCCCAGATTATGAAGTTCTTGTAAGTGTTAATTACACATTCTGAAAGTAGCTATAATAAGAAAATGAAATTTAAAAAATCCACAATAATAAGCTTTAATCAAAAATAAGAAAATAAAAAATATTACACCCAGGTGGTATTGGCATAAAGTAGAAACAAGCGTAAGAGATTCATGGGAAATTCCAGGACGATAAACTTTTACTGTTTATGGTTTTACAGAGCAGGATAACCCTCTATGATTAAAGCATAATGGCTCAGGGTGGAATAATTTACTAGACCATCTATTGTAAGCTGTTACAATAGCCTGAGTTCAATATGTATAAATACAATGAGTGGTATAAGATCCCAGAGAGAATTCTGCAATGGGATCCTGCCAGGATTTGCAGAAAATGTTCAACAAAACCTGGCCCTTTGTGATATGCCAAAGTCAGGAAAGGCCTGTGGATGTTGCAAGGTAGCATTATGAGTTGACTGGACTTGATTTTGAAATTACTTGTGCTAATGAAGCTACCTTGGAGGGATGTTGTTTTGGTCAAACAATTGGGGATTATCTCCCAGCTCCTGGGCTTTGTTCTTGCCAGACAATCCAGCCTAGGCTGCAAGATTTCTGGAGGACCTCACTTCCTTTTGTATGTAGTGTTGGATCTACATAATTCTTGTAGTCTCTGTCATGGTCTGAGTTTGTAGCCTCTGCTGAACTCCTGTTGTGATTTGTCTGCCAATAGCAGTTTTGGAAATATTCATGCAGGTTTTATTTGATGTGATGCCAGAATACATTGAAAACTCCAGCAACACATTAGGATTTTGAAGCTCCTGCCTAGACCAGAAGCAAAATGTTCATCTTTCTATCCGGATGGGTTGGGGTGTGGATAGGCACAGCTAGTCCATATCCCAAAAAGAAATTATGTGTTCCAAAAGAGTAAAACTTAATCAGACCTTGAAGTACATCGTCCCTTTCCCTTTTCCTGTCTGGCAGAGTAATGAGCCTCATGAAACCATGCCAATCGCTGCCTTTGGACAGAAACAACGGCCTTCACGTTTCTTCATGACTCCTCCCCGATTGCCATACACACCTTCACTCCAGTCTCCAATCACAGTAAGTTACTTTTTTAAAGTGGTATTAATCATAGTATTTTTGATATGTGTTGAAGCTGTTACATTAAAATGTTTTTGAGATAAACTTTCTGATGTTATTTAGCAAGATCAAATTTTAGCAAAACCCTCTAAAAAGAAGCTATTAATTTAGATATTTTATCCTTTATAGGACAGTGATCCTTTATTAGGACAATCTTCATGGAAAAACAAAATTTCAGGCACAGATAGTGAAACACTAGGAGGCTTTCCAGTAGAATTCCTCATTCAAGTGGTAAGTATTAACTGCAGCTCTTAATTTTGTTGTTTGTTGTCCTTTTGTGTTTATTCTGCTAATTCTTCTGCACTTCAATGACCTTCTGTTAATTTATGACAGATGTGTTAATAGCCAAATTAACTTTTGAAGAGTTGTTCATGATGAAGAGATGTTTTTATTCCTCCCTTCTAAATTTTCTCACTTGTTTATAACCTTTGAAATATGCTACTTTTCAGGCCACAGAGGTCATCAAAAGTGTCTTATTTTCTCAGCTCTACCATTTTATATTTTTAAAATAAGAATTGTTTCTACATGCAGACCTTAAGACTAATTTATTTATTTAAAATATACTTGCACTGTGCAAAGAACATTTGCCTATATGCATTATCATATATATCTTAATGTTAAATAATGTTCTACGCTCTTGGAGAAGAAAAGCAGCACCCATTTCCATGCAAGCAAACATTCATTTTATAGGTAACACTACACAGAAAATACTTGTTTGTCCTCACCTTTATGAAATAATTCCTCAGTGGTTTTTGTGCACCAGTTCAGAAGAGCACAGACTGATAGGAAGCCAAGGTTGACTGAATATTAAAACACATTGAAGCATTTTCCAGGATGATGGAAGAATGTAATTGTTCATGTTGGCTTAGCTTAAGATCAGTGATTGAAGTCTTTAACAAGGAAAGCACTTTTGAACGTGCCAAAGGAGATTGGAATGATTCATATTTAAAATATTAAGAACTGAGAAATAAAATGCCTTCAATTTTAAAAGTCTGTGTAATTGGTCAAAAGAATAAGTTTATGTCAGTAGCTCACATGGCACACTAACATTTGGGCCATTCAACATTATGAATTTTATTTGACAGAATCATCTATTCAGCTTTTTTAGAGGAAACTTGTATGAAGCTGATTTTGAAAAAGGTGTCATGCCATCTAGCTTAGCTAAAAAAATTTAAGAGAGATGTAGTTGCTATAAGATTAATTGTGATAAAATTGAAGTACACAAAAGATACAGTCTTTATGCAGCTAAACTGTATCTGTAGCTGTCCTGTTGGAGTCCGGGAGTATGATCAGTGAGACTAAATAACTGAAGTGTATTGAGCTTTACATCATCTTAGTACATCAAATTAATCTGTTTATGATATTGTTTCTGTGTTTTAAATATGAAAATGTGTGATTTGTCAGTCACGTTTGGCTGTGTATTACTACTCAGTGTAAGGAAATCTGAGTTTTGCAAGTATAGGTCTCTTGCTTGTATTGCAAATGGCAGCATTTTACAAAGATACCACATTAATATCTATTTTTGCTTGAAGATTTTCAAAATACTTTGAACAAAATCAATCCACAGATTTTTGGTGTTTTTCTATTTGAATGAATCAGAGGGCTTAAACATTTATGGAGGGACTTGAAGCATTATTTTTAAGAATGAATTTTTTAATTAGATGTTCAAGGAGGTACTGAAATTTGGTTCTGTAAAATACATGAGAATGGTGAATGCTGTTTATTGCTTGTGCTGTATTCACTAGTCCAGGTGTATTGTTATGTTAAGGTCTGCTGCTCAGGATGTTTTAACCTTTCTGATAGACTGGTACTTAAAAAAAGTCAAATCCCTTTTTCTGATTTAATGTTGATTCAGGAAGTAAATGGTCAAAAAACATTTGATTCCAAGAAAGCTTTCTGGAAAATTATTGCCAGGAAGTTACTTTTAAGACCACAAAGAAACAATTTTATGGGAAGAATTTTGGACAAAACAGAAAACACAGAGCACACCTTTGATAAGGTTTCAACCCAGCCCCTTATTTCCCTTATCTTAAAATTAGCTTTGAAGAAGAGGAAGTGAATCCAAGATCATATGTATACAACGAAAAATAAATATTATGGATATTCTCTCTACCTATAACTTGAAGTTGTAAGCAAGCACTGGGACTTGTAACAACTATTTTAATCATTGTTCTACACTGTTTTCAGTTTTTCTAAATCTTTATATTTATTACTACGTGTTACGTTTTGGCACCTGAGACTGTGGACTAATGTATTAGAAGACTAACTCAAAAATTAACATGATATTAAGAATTAAGTCAGCAATAAATGAGTAATATTTTTTTAAGAAGTCCTGCATGCTTAATTCATTATGTAATGTATCCTTAAATATTTCATATGCTATATGGCAGGTCAAAATCGATAGATTGCATTTGTACATTCTAGCCAGGATTTGGAGAATGTTTTCCCAAGTATTCAGATACAGCTTTTTTTATTTTCCTTCCTCCCTGCTTCCTTTCTTGTTTTGGGGTAAAAAATTGGACTGGGAGGCAGCGCTGTAAGACAAAGCAGATGTTGGCAGGGTCGCTGCATGCCCGGTAGAGGGAGTGTGGTGATGCAGCACGGGCACAGCATTGACCTGGTGTCTGCATGTGAGGAAAGGAGGGATCTTCCCAGCTTAAAAACAGGAGGAACAATCTGAAAATGGGTACTCGATTTTTGACTGTTTTCTCCTTATGAAAATTTTGAAAATATTGCACAGTAAGTTATCACACACTCCATTTTGAAATGCTCATCTTTTATGAGTAACAAACAAAGTCAGAAATGAAAATCTAAACATTCTGGTTGGGTTATTCCTTCATTTCTTTTACTGGGGAAAACCATTGTACTAAAAACTTGTTTCCAGTTTATTGAGAACTATAAATTGCAACGGTAAACAGGATGAGTTATGGTGAAAATAGAGCTGTTAGGCAAGAATTTCTCAAGACAAACAGGACTGGACTGGACTGTACTGTAGCATTCACTTGCAATCTTTGTAATAAAATGTACCCCTGAAAGAAAGTTGGTGGACATGATGGATACAATGAAAATAGTATCTTAGAATCGGATTATCCTGATCATTGGAATATGTCTTGGAATAGGATGAATATAATAGAAAATCCAAGCTCATCAAATGGAGAACTAGCACTGTGCATCCTCACATATGTCTGCATGTCAAAGTAGAAGTTAAGAATCAAATGCCTTGCAAATTCGGGGAACAAATTATGTATTCTGCATTAATTTGGGGACTCATCAACTTCATGAAAGAGAAGAATGTGTTAGGCAGTTGCTGGATGGCGATGACAGCACAGCTTGACAAGTAACTTTTTGGCAGCAGTGGCAGATGGTGTACAGTGCTTTTCTTCCTCCCAGGTGTTTTATTGGCAACATGAACACTTGTGTGGTGTGTTAGAAACTTGATCAGAGAGACAATCCAGCTCACAACTAACAATTTTACTTTTCTTTCTTGCCCCTTCTGAATTTATTTTCTTGTCATTATCTCTTCTGTGAATGGGTTCTTCATGAAAAATGCAAAGAGCAAGAATGCAAGTGCTGGCACTGGGGGACAGCACAAGGACAGAAATGAGTAGCTGGAATTGGGAGGCTGATAACCCATGCAGTATTGCCTCTGTACCTCTGACCATGGCTCACCATCCATTCTTAAGATGCAGCTGGCAAAATATTTGAAGTAGAGAGAAGTATTGATGCCATTTTATAGGTTTAGTTTCCACATGTGTCATTCAGAATACTGTTAAGGCTTCCTGTGCTCGCTCACAGGAAAGATGGCAGTGAATGGAAAAAGATACAAGAAGGGCCAAAAAGTTTAAGAGCTGAAGGGCCCTTTAAGGGAGTGGAGACTGAAAAGGGTTGGGTTGTGATTAATCAGGTGGAAGAACAGTGGAGATGCTTTTATTGTCTCTGAATAAGGAGGCAACACCTATATTTAGCTGAAATACAGCTTTGGCTGTTTGGCAATTTTGAACAAATTGCTATGACTTGAAAAAGAATGCATTTAGCATGGAAATTCCCAAAATATTCCTCATTAGCTGAAAGAGATCCTGGAACACTTTTCTAATTACAATTTGTGAGGACAAGCAGCCTGGCTGCATTAAGACTGAACTTAAAAGTCACAAAAGGGTTTATGTGTAAATCAGATGTGTGTTGAACTAGGAAATCCTATTTCTCCCAGTCACGTGTTTCACTGCCAGGATTCAGTTAACCCCTCTGGAATGTATAGAACCTGAAATTCTTGCTCTGTTTACTCCAGTAATAAAAATGTTGCTGGTTGTAGTGAAGTTAGGATTTCTCTCAGGGCCCTAGAGTATGAATAGTTTTAAGAATGATGAGTGTGTTGAAAGTGCTCCCAGTGATTTCCACTTCAGCCTGCTAGGTCCCCAGGTCAGGAGACACGGGGTATTCCCATTACAAAAGAGGGAAATGGAAAGCCCAGAGTTGTTCTGTATAAAATTGATCCAATCTCTATACCAGGGTTTACTGCAGGAAAGTTTACAGAAAGGGCTGGTGCTCGGTGGAGGCCACAGCTGAGAACTGTGTGGGGAAAAAAGGTGTAGTGAGGTGAGTGATACTAATTGTGGTATCATGACCATAACACCCTTCACTCTCCTTCAGCCTATAAAAAAACTGGTTCTTCAGCCTCTAGCTGGCCATAAATCATGTTATTCTTCCTATAGGGAATTTCAGCTGATGGATTTTAGCACTCTTCAATTTAGGGCACTTGGAATCACTTTAAAAATCTCTGGAAAATACAGCATTTAATTTTAATTAACTTTAATTTCTGCTTTTTAGCTTGATCAACAACTGACAAATATGTTTTAAATTATGAAGGAAACAGTTATGGTTTTTTATCTTGAATTTCTATAGCATTTCAAAACTGCTTAAGGACCTATTCTTTCTAAAAGTATTTCCTTTGTTTTAGACCAGGTTATCAAAAATCCTTATGATCAAGAAGGAACACATCAAACAATTGAGAGAGATGAATACAGAAGCAGAAAAGCTGGTGAGAATGTTCTCTTTTCAGTTATTAAAACATTATGTACTTTAACTGCTAATGCAAATGAATTTAATTAGTAATTAAAATTACTCTAAATAAAACCTGTATTTTATTGCTTTCTATGACATGAAATGTCTTTATTATTTTTAAAGACAAGTCAGAGAGGTCAGTAGTTTCAAACATGATTCTCCTTTGAAAGCAATGTGCTTTGGAATGCTTTGTGCATTTTGATTAATGTTAACGTCGGGATAGCACATGTCATTTAACACATAAAGTAAGGAAATACTATGTACCTTGAGAATTTGGCATACAAGTTTATATGGTAAGATATTTATGCTAAAACTGTTTTGCAGATGGTAGATACTTATTACCTCAGCTTTCTGGTTAAAGCAGTTACTTATTTCAGAGATTTTAGTGTAAAGCCCTTGACTGGCATTTAAAGTTACGATACCACAGCAGCTACAGCATAATTAGCAGCAGCAGAATTGTTTTTCTTGCTAACTTTATCTAATCAGCAATCAGTAAACCAAAATTTTAAGAGTGGCTTTTCTACCACCCATGGCTATAAATTAAGAAAACTCTCAGTCTCAGCCTTCTGCCAGCATCCATCTAAGTTGTTGTCTCTGCACTGTACAGAAGGCTAAAGGTTTGTGGAGAAGAAGGATCCCTTATATTTCTTGAATCAAAAGAGTTGATTTTTTTTTCCAGGTAAAATATTTGAATGTTGAAAGATGTGATTTATTGTGTTGAGATTTCTCTTTCTGCCTTCAATGATCATGTGCTAGGTACATTCTCTTACTCTCCTACTGCCCCATCCCTGTGTCTCGGTAATTTTCTTCTTCTGTGCCGCGTTGTTCTTCAAAACCTTTTTTATCATTTTATCAGCTACTATACTATTTTTCCTGTACACCAAATGTTTTGTCTTTTAATTTTGTATGTTAGTAACAGATTAGATGCAAAGAGAAGATTAAAATATGTCATTGTGACCTGCAACTCTGATAAAGAAAAATTACCAGCTCTTAATTTTTTTTTCTGAGATATTCATATTTTTGCATAGATAAGGAGATCTATAGGAATGACAGTATCTTTGCTCTAGCAAGAACCTGACTGTTAGCTCAGCTATTAAGTCGTAAGTTACCTGTAGTGTTACTTTTCTTGGTCTCCGTATTCCACAAAATTGAAAGAGCGAAAAAGCAACTGGGAAGTAAGTCTAGAAATAGATGCTAAATTTGATACATTTTAGCTCAATTGTAACCTGCATAAGGACTCCGAGATACTTTGAAATTCTTCCTTTGTAAACCAGCAATCATAAAGCAACCTCCATTACTATTCAAGCCTGTCCTGATAAAAATAGAGGATGTGAAACCTTCCTATTGGGCCATATTCTTAGCTCATCTTCTAATCCTCTTTGTTCCTTGGCAATCCTATCCATGTTTGTGGCACTGAGTATGTGTTGCTTCTCCTTTAAAATATATTTTCTTTGAATAAGGATCTTTTTCTGACCCCAGTTCACTTCAACATCAGTAACATACCTGAACTTCAATAGAATTGAATCCTTTGAGTTCATTTGGGTGTACGTTAAATGTCAGACTTTGGTAATAATTCGTACATTTGTCATTTGATAATTCTTAGGGTACCACTGCTGTTTGGTTTAAAGTAATCCTTTTATGAAGACTTCTGTTTAATGACTGATTCAATACAGAAATAAATGGAACTGACCAAAATCAGAAATGGTACTGAATGTAAGCCATTATTATCTGACACGAGTCAGGGGATGCTTTCAGAGGAGCTATTAATGTATACAACTGTACATTTTTTGCCTAATTTTTCTTGACATCACTGTACTAGTCTGGGTTGCATGCTATAAATAAATTACTGTGTACATAAAACAGTAAACATTTGGATCAACAAGTATAAATTGAAAGGACCTGCAATAAAAATAAGGTAAAGGTAATGCTGATTGTCGTAGAGAAGCTTCTAGATCCTTGGTGGCTGAGGTGTTACCTGCTTCCATCTACTGAAAGCCATCCATCTTTTGTCGGTTTAGCTGTTCATCAGTGTTTCCAGGTCTTGGGTTCCAGGTCAGAAATAGTGCTGGTACTGGGATATTTCTTTTGCTGTCACTAGCATAGAATGCCCTTAGCCTTTCCTCTCTGACAGGGAATTCATAATTGTCTGCAGCTTTCACAGCTAAGCTGGAGCAGTTCAGTTTGCTCTAAGGGAACTGGTCACTGGAGAAGGTCTGAAAGATTTGATTTTTTTATGTTCCAGAAAGTATGGCAAATTTTTGCTACTTTCCAGTGAATTCTGAAATTATGGTATTAGTTTAAAGCTCTGTTTTAAACCTTCTGAGTTTTTGACCAGGATTATCCTGATGCATGCTCTTGACTTTGCAATTTGCTTTATCTTGCGTGTAAAATCTATAGCTACAAGTTTTGGTTGTAGGAGGTACCTGTATCTCAGTCTTATGGCTGGAACTACCTCTAGCTTCTCTTGCAAAAGGCAATTTGGAGAGGAAATTGCATAATATATTGTATGTTTTGTTTCAATTTCATAAATATCACCCAAACAATGTCAAACTGTATTCTGAAAAGAGTGTAAGAAACAAGGTACTGTATTTTGGTATTTTTTATTTTTGTGTAAAATCATGCTTACAAAATACTGTTACCAAATACAAGCTCTAGTAACTTTCTTTTTTGGCAGAACTGTCAGCTGTAACAAAAGGTGTGTAGCACTGAGTCATCTTCAAATGACCAATACCTTACTAGTCAAATGTGCCTCCCATCCTGCAGCAGAGGTGGTTGAGGCCATATTGTCCTGTACGGTTCCTCTGCTGGCAGGATGGGTTTCTGCTCAACCAGTGTGGAAAAGCCATGCCCAGCCACTGGAGGAATAAGCAAGTCAGACCACAGTCATCTTCTGTAGCATTTACCACCACAGATTATTGTAGCATTTCAAGAAGGGAATAAAAGCATGGCTGTTGCCTACACAGTTCTCCTTGGAGTTATAAATGGTAATACTGCATTTTAATATTTTGGATTTTAATGTTTTTCTAGTTGACACCAGTGTTTCAAATATCTCAGTATTATTTTCAAGTAAAAACTGCTTTTGGTGAGTTCAAAATCTGTAACTGTACAGTATTGCATTAATTTTAATATGCTTTGTGTTTTCCACAGAAATCCTATTCCATGCCAATCGGCATTGAGTTTCAGAGGAGATATGCAACTATTGTTCTAGATCTAGAACAACTAAACAAAGACTTAAATAAAGTTTTGCATAAAGTTCAACAGTACTGCTATGAGGTAAGATTGTGCTGGAATTTCTGTTTACTTGGTAGTTTTACTTAACCTAAGTAGAAAACAGAATTTCCTAGGAATAGGGGGTGGGTGAGAGTCACTCTGAAATGAAACCATTGGTAGCTGTGTTGGATTCCTTCTGTGTTTCCTTTTGAGCAGCACTTTTCCTGATACCAGTGGCCTGTTCTGAAGTAAACATACATAAAGAAATGCTGTGTACTGTACACACACAAACTGTCTTTGAAATCATCTCATTTCACATATCCATCAAATGCAAAGGACATCTTCATTCTTAATTTCTCCCCTTCACATCTCTGCAGCTTGCTCCTGACCAGGGCCTCCAGCCTGCTGACCAACCCACGGATCTGAGGCGCAGATGTGAAGAGGAAGCTCAGGAGGTCGTCAGACAAGCAAATACCTTGTCAACAGGACAACTCTGTGTGGGCAGTGAAAATTTAACTGATCTTATCTCTAGACTTACAGCAATATTACTGCAAATTAAGGTAAAAAGTTGGCACAAAGTAGCTTCTCTGCCAGTTTTTGTACTGAACTGTAAGAACACCTTTGTTTTCTTCTTCTACAGTGTCTAGCAGAAGGAGGCGATCTGAATTCCTTTGAATTTAAGTCACTAACAGATTCATTAAATGACATTAAGAATTCAATAGACTCCTCAAATATCAGGTATTACTTTTTGAATATATAATTTTTCATTATACACTTTGTGATAGTTCTTGCTATATTTTAGAGGTGTACACTGATTATAATTAAGGGATTTAATCTGGTAACTACTTATACTAAGGAGTTAGTGTAATCTAAAAGGGGGGTTCTTAAAGGGAATATGAAATGAGCAGTTTTCTGTTTGAACATATCAGTGAAGTAACATGTTAAAAAAAAGTTTAAAAGTGCCAAATTGATGCAGCAATAGCTAGATTTTCTTCTTGTTTCTTCTTAAGAACTTTTCTTGTTCTTTAGTAATTTATGACAACTAAAAACTTATTTTAGAACATTGTCAGATGTTGAAATCCCACTAGTAATACAAGTTTTTTAAACCAGAGAACAGTACAATTTCAGTATTATTTTAGCATACTCAACCTCTTCTCTGTAAATATCAAAAGGTGGCATATGAAACAATTAGAGGTTCTGAGCAGCTTCCATTGGCAAGATTTTAAGCCAAGAAACAGAAGAACAGCCACATCATGCCAGATCAAAGGCCAATATAGTCTAGATGGGCCATTTTTCAACAGCTGTCACAAGCAGCTGCCTGAGGAGGCATCATAAAAATAGCAAAAATTAGCAAGAATGTGATAGCAAGAGCATAGTGATACTTGTCTAGAGTACCCTGCAGCCTCCAGCAATTTGTGACCAGCATTTTATACTGCTAAGTTGTGCCATTTAGAAAATAAACCTAAATTCTAAGTATTTTTTTATATCCTTACTGCTTGTATTGCTACATAATAATGGGAGGCTGTACACATGAATTTTTAAGTTTAAAATTTTTTTTCCAAAGATAGTAGGATGGCCTTTTGATTTCAATATAATTATTGAGAAATGATGGTTTATAGCATTTTTCATTAGAATAAACAAAAACAGACCTCAAACATTAGTGAAACTTCTTTATAATCAACCCTGCAAATTGCATATTGGAATTAATTCAAGTAAAGGTTGTACCCGACAAAGAAAGTGATGATGTTTCCATTTCATGGTACTTATTGGCCATTTTAGCATCTCTTAATAATATTTTAATTTCATTAACTCTGGTCATATTAAAATCTTTCTTTAAGTGCCCAAGTCAGTGACTCTTGATTTCTTGCAGCTATTTGTGCAAGCTGTGTTTTCCCATATTTCTCTGTCAAGTTGCATTTGTATGTACTGCTCTCCAGTTCATCTGAATTTTTGTACTGGCTAGGTTCACATTTGATTTTTCACTGTAGAGGTATTCAGATATAACTCTTACATATGGGGTTTAACATTTCTTTCTTTCCTTCTATTTTTCTTCCCATAGTTGTTTTCAGAATAATGTTGAGATCCATGTTGCACATATTCAGAGTGGTCTGAGCCAGATGGGAAACTTACATGCTTTTGCAGCTAATAACACCAACAGAGACTAAAAACTTCAAGTGTACAGCAAGTAATTCTGGAAAATCTTCTTCCTTTCTATATGCTTCACCAAATACCCCTAACTGCCAGAAGACAAGGGAAGAGAAAACCTCTCAAAAAGGACCCTTTTAAGTATATTATATCTGCTTCTTAAGGAAACCAGCATTACTGGCCAGCGTTACATTAGATTTCTCCATTTGTTAATCACATGCAGTAGTTTTGCTAACTGGTAATCTCTTAGTTATCGCATTGATTATAGTAAACTTGAAAGCATACTTTCATATAATTTGAACTTAGTTTTTAAAAGTTCAGATTGATTCTGCACACCACTTGTTGTTGGATCTCCTGGTATGTTAGAAGTGAAGAAGAGGAAATGGCTCGAGTTAGTAGCCACATGGCAGGTCTTTGTTGTGTAAAGCTACACCTCTGTGTAGCTCTTCAGAGCTGCCAGGTCAGCCTTTGGGAAGCCTGAGCGTTCCTGATCTAAAGAAGCAGCATCAGGATACAGTCAGCAAACATAAACTATAAACTGGAGGATGTTGGGCAGGTCTATCGATCGGTCAATGTCTTGTTGGAACTCTTAATTTATCATAACTTATGGAAGGAGTCTAATGAAGGAATATAAAAACATAACTGTTAACTTTCCAGAAAGAGATTGGTTATGGCTTTTTCCCTTCACAAAGGGCAAAAGAAGTGCTTTAGGTGGTATTTTATATAAGTGACTGGTTAAACATAATGTTTTTCCAAATTCTTGTTTGTTTTGCACAAGTTTTAAATTAGATTACTGGTTATTCAACAATACCAACTATATATAAATATGAAGATTTTTGTAACTGAAGACAACCAGTGAGGTAAACTGCAAAAATAAGAAGTGATAACCTGCCTATACCTTTTGGAATGTTAATCTTGTAAAAAGTGTGTATTGGTTTGTTTAAATAGTCTTGTAAAGCTTCTGTGTAATGAATTGTTTCCAGATATGGATTTTCAGAGATAGCTGTAGAGATGTTTTTGATTCTTTTAGATGCCTCATTAAATAAGGTCTTTTATATGTTATTGTATAAAGAATATGTAAACAGGATTATTTTCAATTTTAAAATTTTGTATAGTTTAAAGATGCTTCTGTATTCCGTGTTGGTATTGTGCCACTGCAAAACTTTAGTGCAGAGTTTATATTTAGCTAAATTTGTTCTGTTAATTAAGAGAAATGCATAAATCTTTTATTCTCAATGAAATTTGTAACTGAATAAATTGACCTATGAGAGTTGATATATTTCAAAAAAATGCAAAATTTTTTGCAGATGTCTCAGGTCATTTTTTTAAGAGAAGCTCATTGCTGAAAATGAAATGTTATGAGGACAAGGTGAGTAGCTGTTTTAAAAGGTATTTAAAAATTTTACAAGTGATATTATAAAGTAATGGTAAACAGTAATTTAGCTGAGTTATCCAGGCAAACTTACCTCTCATAATGCAGTAGAACATTGTAGTGGTCCCTGCAATTACTTTTGTAATTATGCCACTCGTTATTTTGTGGTGTTACCATCTGTTTGATAAAGACAGAAAGGAGTCCTCTCCTACCACCCTTTTCATGTAAACAGAGAAAGGTGCCAAAGCCTAATTTAAAGTACATAAGTTACTAAACTTATGTCTTAGGAAGCAATCTGCTCTACAGCTAACTCAGGAAAGAGGAACCATCCCCCTGCACCTCTATACTCACGTGCCTGCTGCTCCCTCTGCACACCTCTGCTCTGATCCCGTCCTGCTCTGTTGGGACTCAAGCTTAGCACGTGCACTGAATGCTTTTGAGGAGCAGGACTTCACTGTACAAAACACCAGGAGGGTAATTTGGCCTTCTTGGTAGCAAACATCCCAAACTGAAGAGGAGACAAGTTGTAGATGCTAGTAGACACCAGAGGAGCTGGGAACCTGCTTTTCATGACAACTTTTTATCCTACTGGATACAAAATACATTGCAATAATCAGCACACTCCAATCTCAGCTCTGATTCCTTAAGTATGATGGTTTTTACATGTGGATACTTATAGTCTCCAGCATATTTTCTGTGGATGTAGGGTTTGGTTTGTTTTTTTTAATTATTGCAGAGTAATATATGATAGCAAGATCTGTCATTTGTGATAAGCTATATATTTCCACATGTCATTTGTCCCGCTCATGTAGGCTGTGTGAATATACCCACCTTTTATTTTCTTTGAAAGGCTGTATTTCTCCTTGGGTACTGATGTACCAGGATCAGAGCTAATGTTGAATTTTGGCAATAGTAACAAATGCAATTGCTTTTGCTGAGTGTGCTCCAAGCATAGCAGGAGTATCAAGAGCTCACTGCAACTACCCTACCTGAAGTCTGCAGGAGCAGAACAAGTTACTTTTATTTATTATGATCATAAACTTGAATTTACCCTGAGTGCCCAAGAAACCATGGTCTCATTTGCTGTCTCTTTCTGCAAGTGCTTCTTTTTTGGTGTTTTCTTGATCCCCAGCATAGCACCCAAGTCCATGTTTTTTTTCAAGAATACCTCTGGGGTTTTTTTGATGGAGAATAATAGTCAGCAGCCCTGCCATGCCACTTCACCTTGCAAGCTTGCAGTCCAACCAGCATTCAGCTGTCCCGATCTCACAAGCACAGGTATGTTATGGGGTAGTGCTGAGGGATTTTGTTCATTGGTAACCTTATTCTGTGGGGCATGATTCCTGATACAGACTATTTCTGCCACCAGTACATGAGTCATTTTTCCTGTGCTTCTTGCATTTGAATGCTTTTCCATAACTTAAAACTTGCTCTGCTAGGTTCTTAAGTACTGTTTAGTAAGAAAGAAGAATTGGCCTTATCCTCAAAATTATGTACAGAATAATGTGTCCTTCCTCAATAAATTGAATTAGAGGAGAGATTTCTGTTGCTACTGATTTTGCCATTCTCAGCGCAGAGCCATTCAGCCTATGACTGTTCATGTGAACAGCTTCTGTGTAGTTAGCTTACAGCTAAAGCACCCTTACAGTGTCCACAAAATACTCCCCTTTCTCTTAGTTTAACATTAACCTTGGTTCAAGTGGCAGACTGGAGGCTTTTGTCTGGGTATTTGAGATCTGGGGGTTTGTATTATTTAGGCCAGACATTTTAGGGATGGGGGTGTTTAGAGCAGATTTAAGACAAATACTGACAGAAAAGGTTTAAGGCAGTTTCTGTAACCTGTCCTTCAGGCCCCTCTGATCTCTTATCGACATCTAAACTGCAGCCGTAGCTCTCCAGGACCTGGGAAAAGAACCTGCAACTGAGATATCTACCACTTCTCTACCCCACCATCAGGCAAGGTAAGGAACCTTGCCCCTACACCAGGTACACACATAAGCAGATCAAAAATGTAAACCTTTATTATATTTTCCTCGATCAAAAAACCCTGACAGACCATCACTCTTTTCTAAGATCAGTACCCACCCCCAAAACATAGTAGAGATTTGGGTTAGCTTTTTGGCTAAAGAAGGTAAATAGATATACTAAACATGATAAAAGAAAGCTTTAAATACAGTGTAAAAATATGCCCTCAGCTAATGGAGCCGACCCGTATCTTTCTTAAATAAATATGTAAAATCAGTTACTACCGGATAAAGTGCAACAGTGGCAGAGCAGCAGTGGTGAGGTAGCGCGGTGTGTGACTGCTCCCCGCCCGAGCAGCGCGGCGCGGGCCGGGGTCCGGCGGGCGGGCTGCGGATGTAACCTGTCCCCCCCGGGC